GGCCGCGGCCCGCTCTGGTGACAGGGTCTGCCCCTCGTCCAGGGCTCATCCTCCTCCCTAGCCCTTCTCGGTGTCTCCGGGGCCGAGATGCAGGCTGCCCTTGAGCTTGCAAGAAGCGTTTGGGAACGTTTCTGCCCTCGCTGGGGGCTCCACGCAGGGCACTGCGGGGCTGCTGCGTGGCTCCTCAGGGTTATCCCTAAACTCTGGGTTTTCTGGCCGCCCCTCGTCCCCTTTTTCGCGTTGGCGCGTTAGTCGTGGTTGTTTCTAACTGCATGGAATGGGCTTGGATGAAAATGTTAATATTGTTAGGAAGCTGGGCAGGAAGTATGTAAATAACCGGTTCAGACCGAAGTTTTATGTGTGGCTAAGCAGCCTAATATTGTCTTGGAAAATTTCCCTTCCCACTGGAAACCCCGCTAGAAAGGTGGGCCCTGGCAGCTGCGGAGGCGGCTGTTGTGCAGCCTGTATGGTCGCGGGCAGTCGGAGGGAAAACAGCTTTTATGAGGCAGTCCGCTGCTTCTTCCACTCCTGTAAACGTTGTACGTGAGATGCTGCGCTTTTCCCTTCCATGTTACTGTCTGTTGGCAGAGAGAAATTTGTGTTTTCATGTGAAAAGTGGAATTAATTGCAATAAACAGTATAGATGCATTAGCTTTGCTGATTATGAGGGTGTGTCATAAACACTTATGGAAAGAATAAGTCTGCAGTTGCACAGAAGGCCAAAATTTTATTTTTCTGTCACTTCTAGTAAGGAGTAAGCTCTCAAGTTATGCAAGTAAACTTATGCTTAAGTTTTACATGGCCTGTTAGTGTGGTAGTCTGGGGCTACTGAGATATGCTTTTCATTGTCTTCCCTAGGTGGCTAATGCTCAGAACAAAATGTAGAGAAACTATAATATCTAATTTCTGGTTTTTTTTTTTCATAGATATTGGTATTAACCTGACAGATCCTATGTTCAGAGGAATCTACAGAGGAACACAAAAACATCAAGGTAAACATTTCTTTGTGTCTGCTGAAAGACAGGATCCCTCTCATTAAAATAGAAACCTCTTACGTGTCAGAATATGAGGTTAGAGTTTCTTTTTTCTCCTCAAAAACTGCATGCTTATTATTTACTAGGGCTTGAAGAAGAAACCGTGGCAAAATAAATTAGATGTTCTAAGCAAAATACATTCTCTTAATTGCTGTTAAGTTGTCATATAGGTAACTCTGCCTCTAGAGCAAAATGGACAATTGCTGAGCTATTTATATTAGGATTGCATGGAAAAACTGATCTGAGAATTATGAACAAGAAACTGTCAAAGTATTGCATTGCTGAATCATAGTTACTAGTTATAACTGACGCTTTTTTGCTCTCATGGCCTTTAGATATAAATGTAAAAACAGCGAGTCTCCTGAAGTATGTGGGAAAAACTTCCATTGACTTCTTGGATTTAAATTGGATCTTCAGTTACTGCATTTTGTTACTGCCTTCTAAAGATTAATCAAGTGTGGTTTAAAGGTTGTTCATGATAGGTGTTTTGGCTGCACAAAAGTGATTTTAGTTGAAAAGTAGTTAAATTATGCTGTAAAACCTTAAGGTCAATTTATGGCATTTTTATCAACTTCCGCAGATGACTTTTTGGATGTAGTAGAGAGAGCCATCAAAGTTGGTGTTAAAAAGGTAATTTCTTATAATAAAATTTCTTTACTATTTTAAACTGCTTTCTAATACTTTGGATTTTAGTGCTTCCCTATTAAAACAAATGTATCTGGAACTTGCAGTGGAAAATGTGGTAACTTTCTTTGATAGCATAAAGCAAAAATGTTCTGTGCAGTGTTGTCTTTCATTTGCACAGATCATTAGATGATGATTATTTAAGTTCAGTGGTATCATATGTGATGCGTATGTGGAATTTCTTTTGTACAGTTTCAACAGAAGGATGTTCTCCTCTGACGTACTGCAATCAACTAGTACGTAATTTTCCATGTTAGTTGTATTATAGGCAACCACTCCTTTTTTCTTGTATCCTGTGTAACTCTCTTACTCAGCAGTTACTGCTACAGATCAAAGCCCAACTCTTCTGATTCAGATCCTTCAGATATTTCTATGTAAAGGAAATTGGTAACTGCAGGAGAGCTGGGAGTGCCCATAAATTCTTATGTCTGCTAGTAAATACTGGCTTATGTGTATTAAACAAGCTATGAGCAGGTTTGTAACTCTTAACTTGAAATTGGTGTTTTCAGCAGTGGACCACAGTCCTTTAGTTACAATAGGCCAGCCTGCCTGCCTCTCTCTCTCAACTGAATAAATTGTCAAGACAAAAATAGGAATTAAAATAGAATACAATGCATACTGCCACAAACTGTTCTACTGCACTAAAAAGGTTGGTGCATTAGACATAAAGAAATAAAACCCTTCTCTAGAAGAGGAACAGACTTCTCGGAAGTTTTCTGAAAGGCTCTCATCTGAAAAGAGTGGGAAGTAAACTGGGAGACTAAAAAAAACTAGTGATGCAGAAGTTACCACACTGCAGCAAATACAGAATCATAGTCACTTCTACTGCATTTATATGTGCTGTATAAGTACTATTTAATCTTTATACCACCCTCTGAAAGTAAGTGGCAATTTTCCTATTTTATTATCAAAAATAGATTGGCTGCATAACTTTTTCAGGATGCACAGTGGATTCAGAAATGGAATTTAGGAGTTTCATGTCCTTAGCTATGTTTTCAGTCTTGCTACTGGCCTGTACGGTGTCAGAAGTCTATTCTGTCCCAGATTGTTTCTGCTTGCCTAGAAGCTTAATCTGTTTATTTGAAAATACTTATATTTTTCCATATAGCTGCTGATTTATGGTAATTTTTTGGTGACGTTTTGCCCTGTGCTGTATGTACACTGAGCCAATATCAGCTTGACTTGTTTTTCTGGTGATACTGTTGGGATGTGTCTGTCTCTAATGGAGCATACTGCAGAAATGTCTGACTTGGTGCAGACTGAGTCTGATGTAGGGATAACAGTTGTCAGAAAGCAGTGTAGTCATGATTTATGAGGACCTAGGGTGCAAGGTCCTGCAAGTGGTGGTTCAAAAAACACTGTAAGCAGCAATTCTGGTGTGATAACCTTTGATCTTAAGATAAAAATAAAAGATTGGAGCCAGAAATTCTTAAATTTGCAATCCCAACTCTGATACAGACTTCTTTGTTGGTTTATCTACTTACTCATGTCTTGTTTTGGATGTTCGGAAGTTCTTAGTTTCTCCACCTGTGAGACAGGGAGAATGTTTCTGAATATCATTTCTTGAATGCAAATGAAGTTTCTTGAGTCATTGGCTAATGAAGTTAATGTTGCTGCAAATAGAAGTATTTTGCTCATTTAATGGTTTAAATACTTAACATAGGAGATACTTGATTAAAAAAACAGGTTTTGACCCCTAATGTATTTACTAGCTCCTGAGGTTGGTTACTGATTTATGAAATTTTGTCACATATACATTAGTAATTGTCTTCTGATGTTCTCTAAATTCTTTCTTATATCTGAGTGTTTTCTTAAGTATTCTGTTTGATGTTCAAAGAAGAACATACTCACTGACAGTATTCTTCTTCTTCCAAGTTTTTGATTACAGGTGGGAGTCTACAGGACAGTAAAGATGCATTGGAGCTGGCACAAACAAACGGTATTTTCACTTTAAACTTACGTTGTCAGTCAAAACTATAACCTTCTCCACTCTCAGAATTAAGAGTTGAAAAGGACCTGCCCCTGCAGGTGTTTACAGAATCTCAGATTAAAATGAGAAATTATGTTTCCAAATGGGATGAATGCATTGTGTGTGAGCTTCTGTATGTTGCTTTTTAGATCCCACAGTGTTGGAAGGAATCAGTCTTTCCTGTAATTTCTATTTCTAGATAAAAATAGAAATTACAGGAAAATTCTGGAATTAAAAAATTGTTATATGGCTGTCTTCTAGAAATAAGCTGGAATGCTTACATGGTGTGGAATATGTTTTCTGGTGGGTTGTTGTTTGTTTTTTGCTTACCAGTCTGTCATGACCAGGTTGAACAAGAGGGTATGTTTCTCTTTATGGTTCTCCTAGCTTTCCCTTTCTTTCTGTGAAAAGGCAAATATCTTTCCACTAATTACTTAAATACATATTTGAACTAAAACACATGTTAAAGTACTGTTTACCAAACAGAACCATAGAATAATTTCGGTTAGGGTGAACCTGAGGAGGTAATCTGGTCCAACCCAATTCACCTCCCCACTTCCATTGAAGTTGCTCGGGGCCTTGTATAGTCTTTCCCTCCCCTCCCCCCATGCTTTTGCATCTCCATAAAGGCACTTAGCAGAAATGTTAGTTTTGGCACTAGGGTAATCTAGGTTAGATACATAGGTAAATCAGGCTAGATGTTGTTTGCGAAATTCTGTAACAGCTAATGCAGAGGCACATGAGGGAAATTGCATGCTGTCTGCAAATCTTACAGCTGAGGATAGCCTGATGCATTTTGAACAAGATGTATTTCTAGATGATCTCAAGAGGTCTCTTCCAACCTGAACAATTGTATGATTTGTTGAGGGCTGCTCCACCAGAATGGTTCGGCTTTGAGTTGCAGTTTTGGAATATACTAAATAATGTGTACTAAAAAGAAACACAGGCACACACCCCCACTGGAGATACTGTCTAACATTTTTAAAGCAGAAAATATCAGTGTAATAGAATTATCACCAAGATAAAGTTGTTCAAAGGGAGTTTCCTTTCAAAATTATGAGCAATAAAAAGTCTAGATACAGATACTGTCTATACCTTATAGAAATCTTTTTTTTTCTTTTTTCTTAAAACCTTCTAATACTGTCTTGCTTTAGACATGTTTTACAGTACAGTTGGCTGTCATCCTACGTGCTGTGGAGAATTTGAGCAGAGTAGCCCTGAACAGTATTTATCTGAATTAAAAAATCTGATTGAAAAAAATAAGACAAAGGTAATAGCAGTTGGAGAATGTGGCTTAGGTAAGTGTTACTTAGTACTTCAGTATTTTTTTCTAGACCTATATTAAAAAAATCCTAAAACACCAAGTGGGTTTTTGTTCTTTCTGTTTGTAGATTTTGACAGATTAGAATTTTGCCCAAAGGACATCCAACTCAAGTAAGAAACTTTTGATGACTATAAATTGATTTGTAGCAATTTACAGGAGTGTTTCCTATCTTGTGTTCTACCAGGTAACATTTTGTCTGGGTTTTTTTGGCAGGAATGGGACTTCAAAGAAAGATGCCTATGTTCAAGTAGTGCTATGTGCTAAATTTTGCTGTCTGCCTGGTGTTGACTTAGCATGTGTTTTTCTGTAAAATTGAACAGAGTTTGGGGGTTTCTGGGTGCTAATACTCAAGAACTCTTGGAGACTCATGGGGAGAATAGCGTAACTAGTGTGTGAAAGAAGAATTAGGATGAGTGAAAGGCATGGGGAAGGGGACAGAACTGTCAAAAAGGATAAGTCAGCAGTGGAAAAAATATGAGCTTTTAAGGGAGGTGTTAGCTGGGAGCAGGTAATTGAGAGCTGATGAAAAAGGTGATCTTGGGAGCTGGAGAGATCTGTGTTTTGAAGTTAATATATGCAGCACAGATACTGAATGGAAAGAAGCTAGGACAGCTGAAATCAGCTTGCATTCTTGTAGTGGAACTTCTGTCTACAGAGGGAGCTAGCTGAAAGATACAAAAGATAAATTCAAATAAGATGAGTGATTAACAAATTGCATCTGCATATTACTGTTCCGAGTAAATTAGTCACTGGGGGGCAGTGGTTAGTTGTGTTTTTTGTAATTGCCACGTTAGCAGTAGGTAGAGTTTTCTTCATAATGCTGCAGTCATACAGTAAAATATTCAGCAAAGAGGACAGAACTCTTTTTCCTGGTAGAATTCAGTGTACACAATGTTCAGCAAAGCACACCTTGGAGTATAACCTGTTTCTTTTCTGTGGCAAACTAAAACACTGGTGGAGTATCATATTTTAAGATCCTTACTGCCTTGATGTTATTGGGAGAAAAAAAAAAAATCTGATTTTCCTTATCTGATCGACTGCAGGTGAAGACCTGTAGGGAAAAACTTCTAATCCAGTGCACTGAAATTGAGTGGTGAGTCAGGAGGTGACAGGATGGAACAGAAATCACTTTTAAAGTAGTAGGTGAGTCGTTCCTAATTCAGGTTGATAATGACACAAAGTCTTTATCTGAGCTATTTCAGTAAATCATATGAAATACATAAATCTAGATTCTAAGAGATCTATTGAGAGCCCTTGCTGGAAATTGCAATTGGAAGGAGGTAATTGATGAAAAATTCAGAAAGTAAGACATATGAGGGAGTAAAGAATCATAGAATAGTTTGGGTTGGAAGGGACCTTTAAAGGTCTTCCAGACCAACCCCCCTGCAGTGAGCAGGGACAGCTTTAACCAGATCAGGTTGCTCAGAGCCCCGTCCAACCTGACCTTGAATGTTGCCAGGGATGGGGCATCTACCACCTCTCTGGGCAACCTGGTCCAGTGTTTCACCACCCTCATTGTAAAAAATTTCTTCCTTATGTCCAGTCTAAATCTGCCCTCTTTTAGTTTAAAACTAAAACATTACCCCTTGTCCCATTGCAGCAGGCCCTGATAAAAAGTCTGTCCCCATCTTTCTTATAAGCCCCCTTTAAGGACTGATAGGCCGCATAAGGTCTCCCTGGAGCCTTCTCTTCTCCAGGCTGAACACCACCAACTCTCTCAGTCTTTTTTCAAAGCAGAGGTGTTCCAGCCCTCTGATCATTTTTGTAGCCCTCCTCTGGACCTGCTCCAACAGGTCCATGTTTTTCCTAAAGAAATACTGAAAGCCTCAAGGACAGATGCCTGCAAACACTGTGTTTGTAAATACCGTATTGTCTAAATGGACAGCTTTCCCTGGTCTTCATCTTCCATGTGTTTGTGAAACATGGCCAGGATATGGGGTTGTTTTTATTTCTGCTAATGGGATGCTGTGGAGTTGGATACAGTCTGGCTTTCATGACCTTTAGCAGACTGGGTGGTGAGTTCTTCAAATTAATATTCATAGAATCATTTAGGTTGGAAAAGACCTTTAAG